ACATTGCCAATTCTTTTAATAATTACTTCTCTTCTATAGGCTGTAGCTTAGCAGAACTGATAGACCGAGTAGACAAGCATCCAATGGATTATCTAAAGACACCTCTATGTAAAAGATTCTATATTTCTCCGATTTCATCTTCTGAGATAGAGAATGAGATTTCATATTTGAAAARTGASAAAGCAACAGGACCATATAGTATACCAGTCAAATTTCTTAAGATACTGAAAGCTGTTATTTCAAAGCCACTTGCCACACTATTCAATGTTTCTTTTTCTTTGGGTATCGTTCCTTCAAGTTTGAAAATAGGAAACATAATTCCAATTCATAAAAAAGATTCCCACCTCTCTCTTTCTAACTATCGTCCTATCTCTTTACTTTCAATATTTCATAAACTTCTAGAAAAGTTGATGGCAAATTGTCTGATTGACTTCTTTGAAAAGAATAACACTTTTTTCAAAAATCAATTTGGTTTTCGCAGTAACCATTCAACTGACTTCGCTATACTAAGTATTATTGATAAAATACAATCAGCAATAGATGCATCTGAGTTTTCGTGTGGYATATTTTTAGATTGTAGTAAAGCGTTTGGTATTATAAATCATCAAATCCTGTTGAAAAAACTTGATTATTATGGAATAAGGGGAATTGCTAAAGAATGGTTTATCTCTTATCTCAGCAATCACSAACAAGCTGTTATTATCAATAATGTTAGTTCTGAATTGACATCAATTACTTGTGGAATTCCACAAGGGTCCGTACTTGGACCGATATTATTTCTTATTTATATCAATGATTTTCACCTTTGCTCAACCTTGTTTGAGTTTCACTTGTTTGCGGATGCAAATCTATTTTACAGACACAAAAACTTGAATACTCTTAAACATACTATCAACTCTGAACTCGTAAATGTTCATACATGGCTATATAAGTCGCTAACAAATTGTCTCTTAATATTGAGAAATCAAATTTCGTTTTATTCCATTCCAGACAGAAAAAAGTAACAATTGACTTTGACCTCACTCTCAATAACAAACAATTAAAACAAGAAACATCTATAAAATATTTAGGAATCTATATTGATTCTTGCCTTTCTTGGAAAACCCATGTTGAATACATCTCAAAAAAGATGAAAAGAAATGTTGGAATTTTGTCTAAATTGCGCTATTATGTAAACATAAATATTTTTGTCGATCTATATTATGCCTTGATATATCCATTCCTCATTTATGGAATATTGGCCTGGGGTAGTACATACCCAACAACTTTGAAGCCAATTTTTATTTTACAGAAAAAGGCAGYACGATTAATGACATTTTCACCGTTTGATGCTCACTCGAGCCTGTTGTTTAAAAATTTAAATATAATGAAATTTCACGATCTTGTTGAATATTCGGTGGCAGTTTTCATGTTTAAATACCAAAATAATCAGCTTCCTACTATTTTCAAAGATTTTTTTCACTCCAATAAGTGATATACAGAAATACCAAACTAGATCTGCAGCTAAAAATAACTTTTATCTACCAAAAGCTAACACCAATTATGGTAAATTTAACGTTAGATTTAATGCTCCAAAAGTTTGGAATTCAGTTGATGATTCCACAAAAAAATTGACAAGTTTGCATACGTTTAAGAAAAAATTAAAATTGACATTCATAAGCAATTATTAAGAATAAATTTCTCATTTTTATTATATATTTAATTTCTTTCTTGCATTAACAGAACAAATAAGTTTTCGCATTAAATAGAACAAATAACTCTTTATTGATAACTTTTGATAAAACATTTCTCCTCCARAAATATGTTGTAATTTTTCTAGTGATTATGTAAATTTTTATGTATTTCTTCTATATATTTTTTTAAATTATTATTTCCACTCCTAGAATTCCGTCCTCTTTAAACGTGACAATATTATATATATATAATTAAATTGTCCTAGCTAAATTGTCCTTAACTTTATAGTTATTAGTTAGGGCCTGTACTTATAGTTATGTAATTTTGTTTGTAAATGTGAATGTAATTCTAGGTACAATAAAACGTTGTTGTTGTTGTTGTTGTTGTTGTTGTTGTTGTTGTTGGAGGCGAGCAAAGCTGCATTTTTCTTGAACGAAAAACATACGATAGTTGATTAAAAACAACCGAATTGTTAAAGATTTACAAAGCTAAATAAAGGACGAATAATTGTTGCGGTAATATGCTTTCCGTGATATGTTTCTTCCAGCATTAAAATAAAATCAAGCTTATCTATAGAAATATAAAAAGCTTTGAGAGAAAGTCTTTATTTGTCGATTCGAAAAAATAATATACGATTGTTTGCTAAAAAACACACACCTGAATTCTTGAAAAACACTTCTTGATCCATCTTTGACTACATGAAAGCTTTTTTTTTAATTGTTTTTGTTCTATAGCTAAGTGATTTTTTCTGTGCATTTGAGAGCCGCATTTGTGAGCAGTTTTGCTTTGACATCAAGCGCGATTCCTGTGTTGTGTACACGGATGGACGGAAGGACGGACGTATGGACGGAAGTGATGTCAGCCAAGCCATGAAAAATCAACTCGATGGTTTACCATTTTTTCTTAAGTATGGTGCTCCGCTCGCCTTCGGCACGCGCGGGAGATCCGTTAAAAATCTCTCAGTTGGGTTCTCGTGGTGGCCGAGCGGTTGAGATCTCGTCTAGCAAACGAGAGGTCAGTGGTTCGAGTCCCGCGAGAACCCAACTGAAGCAGCTTTCTTAATCTGCTTATACACTCGATGTAGCATACACTTTACATATAGATCTGTACCGAGTGACAAAAAAAAAAAACATTTCATAAGAGTTTCTTTGTTACCCTGTTGTGTCATTCAGCCACACCAGTGGTGCGTTATAGGGACGGGAACATATTTTCTTTAAGAGAATTGCCCAGTATATTCCGTTATATACACGTAGTAATTATGAGTAACCAAGAACGTACATCGAAAGCATCGAAATCAAAATTGAGCGTTTCATATCTTTTAATCTTGTTGATTTGTCCGGTTTCTGGACTTCTACAGCTGTTGGGACATGGCACCATCTCTTCAGGACAGTCATTGTTTTTGTGCAGTATGAGCATATGTCGGAGCATAACTTGTATACATTTCTCACATTCCAGCTCTTTATATTTGCATATCTTATCATGATCCTCCAGTTCTCTTCTCTGCATGTTGGTGTTGCAGTTCACATTAGAACACTGTATTTGTTGGAAAGGACAAGTTTTTCTGTGGTCCGCTAGTGCCAATAGCTTCCCGGACCAATTACATTTCTCTGCAAACGTTTAAAAGTTAATTATGCCCAAGTAAAACATGCCAAGTAAAAATTCCTCCAGACTCACCTGCAGTATCTGCCACTTGTGCATCATTACCTGGTKGRTGACAAAAGACTTTAAGGTTTTGTATYATGTTTTTAGCAAACACGCTCGGCATAAGACTTTCGAMTYTTAGTRCTGTGTTATCCATGGGGCATCTGCATTTGTGATTCAACCATGCTTTTATACACTTTTTACAGAAAATATGCCCTTCTTTACATTGCTGRGGGTCYKCCAGAACTTCATGACTAGAAATGAAATAATAAAATGRAAACGCAAATATGCCACAAATCTATAAAATTTCACCTTGCTGCAGTTGAATCACGATMWTTAAWAAATCGTYTCTTGATTACCCTGCTTAGTATTGCTAGCTTTTCGGGTCACCGGCTTTATCGACAAGACATATTATGAATGTTTAAGAAGATAAAGGAAAAATTTTTAATGAACAGCTTTTTTGATATATTTCCTCTATCAAAAGGCCGGTTTAGAAGCAGACTTCCTAYTATTTCTATAACAAACACGACACTTTGTAGTTTGAATGACAGGTTTCGGCAGTAACGTCTTTCGTCTTCAGATTTTTTAAATACCGTAATGCAGATTGCACAATGTAAAATACCTAAATAAACAATCTAGCATTAGTATCATAACTCCAAAGTTCCACAATTTGGGAATTTGAGGATATTAGTAAATCAGATCATCAAAATTGCAAGATTTAATTAAATAATTAACCTTTATTAATATAATTTATCATTTATAGCTTAAATATTTTAATCCATCCATACATCGTAATAACTAAACTAGATTCTCTTACCATATTAAACAAATCAGGTTTTCATCGACGTTTTCAACAAAATCTTCACGTCTGTAACCCATTATAGATTGAAGTTGTACATTTGCCAGTAGTTGAGACAGTCAAATCCGAAACTAATACGACTTTTGACTTAACAGATACAGAGCTCTGACACGGAAGATAATTTGAATAAATGAACTGTTAATCAGATGCGCAGTTAACGACAAAACGTGGCTACGCTTTGATGCACTTCGTGCTCTTAAAACTTTGTGTCTCCCAACATATATGGACCCTCTTTTACACGCAGCTACTGTTCAATGCACCACCAGATCACTCGAAGGATGGAAAACTTTGGAATTCGGGGCGAAAGGAAACAATTTCCGACCTCTACAAGTCAGTTTTTCAGGTCTATACTCTAATGTCAGAATGTCATAATCTCGGCAGTCACAAGTGTGCCCAACGACCTGGTTGCTAAAATTATGCTCAAACCATTCAAAATCGCAAAAAAACAAAAAACAAAAAAAAAAAATTATTGTGATTATACAATGGACGCCTTTCCAAAAATTGCTGGCAAAAACATCCGGTCCACATTGTCTTCCAGAGAAATGAAAAAAATGCCCAGTTAGCCAGCCACGTCTGCTCGAAATTGCAAAAGGAAAGTGTTGACTCATCTGTTCATTTTGCATAAAATATCAGTAGAGAATAAGTATAAGAATTAGGACTCCATGCTGTTCAATTAAGAAATAATTGGAATAGGAAAATTCCGAAGACTGACAAAATTGGATGAGGCCATAGGCCGAGTCCAATTTGGCAGTCAGAGGAATTTTTCGAGTCTAATTATTTCTTGATTGGGGAGCATACAATCCCATTACCTATTAATTATATAGCTGCCTAATTAATCCCATATCAACAAAACCTGTCCAACTAAGAAAATATTGAACAGTTACCTATATGGGATTAATGAGAAGCTGTATAATGAAATTGAAAATCGAATCAAAAGTCAGTTTGGCTGTTTTTTGATGTTGCTAAGTTTCAATAGAAAAGAAAGGATACCAACCATGGATCAACCAACGTCCGAGCCGTGTGCAAGCTTGAACTGAAGTGAACGATATCTTAGTCATTTCTCATATATATTTGCATCAGCGAGACCGCTAGGAAAAGCTTCATGTGTTAAGGAGAATGCACCCTAAACTTGATTTTAGTAATTCTTCTCAAAATAGACATTAATAATTCATGAGGTCAATGACCAATGGCGACTTTGCATTGTTTTCACGTGCACACACCTTGATACTTGATCAAAAACGGATCAAGACATGCACTGATAAAACACTTTTCACTTTTTTAGTCTCAGTAGATTCAAAAACAAATGAATTATGATGAGACTGAGAAGTAAGTTCAAAAACTCGTGCTTCGTGTTTGATCAGGGAATCCAAACACCTCGAAACAATAAAACCACTCGGCCTACGGCCTCGTGCTTTCATATGTTTCTCGGTGTTTGGATTCCCTGATCAAACACTCGCACTCGTTTTCGATCTATTACTTCCGGCACTCATTCTGTACAAAATATTTTTTCGATAGTAAAGTATCAAATGATATTAATCACCCTTTATGACCTTGATGAGTCTCCTTTAACGACTAAGATGAAATGTAACATGGATTGCATTGGCGAAGTTATGTTTGCTGAGAGCAGGTGAGATGACTTTTGGCCACGGTGTACAAATATTCTAAACATACTCACAGCAAAGGGAAGGGCAATACCGCCATCAAGGAGTCATTTCTTCTACCTTCGATCTGGTTGAATTTCAACTTTTTGAAAACACACTCGTGCGAATTAATCCCAAATTGAACTCGAAAAGGTATTATTATCTAAACAAATTGAAAAATAGGCTCGCAAATTTTAGTGGCTGTCTTGTCCGTTGAACAGAAGTTTGTTTTAGAGTAAGCACGGTACGAAATATTTGGGAAACATTCTGATTTAATGATGAGCCCATGCAAATATGAAGCAAACAAGTGAATTTTTTCTGCATCTCTTTGATGTTTTCAATTTTTTCGAAGTGTTTCTTTGATACCTTAGGATACGCTTCAGCACGCGTCTTTTCCTTGCCGAATGTCACATTTGCTCAGCGTTTAGCAAATAAAAAATAAAAAAACACACACAATTCAGTTACTAACATTTTTTATTAGGTCTTCTTTTAGCAAGAATATGGTGAAATATGCTTTTGATAGGTTAAAAATAGCATCACCATGGAATAGTAGACTCACATTTATAAGTAACGTGACTACCGTTACCCAATTAAACGTGCAATTATAAATTAATTATCATCAGAAATTAAAAGAGCAGATGAATTTCAGTTACTAAAATAAAAAATGGCCTAAGGCCTAGGGATTAGATAACAAAGGTTGCCAGCCATGATATGTCGTTTGTAAAATCATTAATTCTTATATAGGTTTGTGATATTTGAAGCTCAAGCTTTCTAATTCTTATAATACACTCAACAAAATCACTCGATTCTGATTGGGCAAGAGGAGTACATAAACTACTTCGGTCTGATAGTTTTAAGTATAATAAGATGACAACGGTTCCAAATATGGAAAGCATCTTTGTAAATCCAAGTTTTGGATCAAAGACGACGAGATGTAAAAAGACAATACTTCGACTTTATTCAAGTGATGCTCATGTACGAAACAAGATTACAGTAAGGATATTTATATCAGCGAGAGTTAACAATAGACCTACCTTTGCTTTCTCTAGCATGGCTTTAACTGTTCTGACTGTTCTCTCTGCTTGTCCATTTGACTTGGGACATCCTGGGCTTGATGTGTTGGATGTTGTTCCATTCTTTTGCAAACTCCTTGAATTCCTTAGAAGCATAACATGCATGGTCCGTTGTCTGAAATCAGTATTGAAGGTATTCCGTATCTAGCAAACTGTGATTTGGGTGCATTTATAACATCGCGTACAATTGCACTCAAAACTAGGTCATGACCGCCTTATAGTTGCGTTATAGGTTTACAAGTCCAGAATCGCCTTAGTCCTTGAGCTTGTATAAACGTTTTCATCATTTTTCGTCCTTCATTAAATATGCCATGACTATCCGCGCCAACAGCAACTTTCAAGACAACTTTCAAGATTTCCCGCGAACAATTTTGGTTCCAGGCTTCGCGCGGTTTGCTTCCTTGACTCCAAACCTCAAAACGGGGTTCGCTCCGTTTAAAAAAGTGCGTCTTCAATAGCAAATGATGACTAAGAGCGTTGTTTCCAAGCCAACAAGGAACCTGGCTACTCAATATGGTGGAAGAAGAAAGATAACGATTTAACTAATTGACATCAGATTTTTATGTGTCTGTCCTCTTATTGACGATAAATTGCGTCATCACATTGTCAATTTGTTTTTTACAATAACAAAAACGTTAAGCAAACGTAAACAATGTTCACAACAATAAATTCCACAAAGAGACTAGTAGAAACTGTTTATTTTTCAATGATGACAAATCATTGTCGTTAGAAATATTTCTCGCTGTCTTATTGGTTGACATAATATAAACAAGCAACCTTATTGACTAAAAATTGACAGATTGTCAAACTTTTCATTATAAAGCCAGTTAACGGCTCGATCGTTAATGAATTGATGATGAACAGAATGCACAACGGTGCACAACTCAAAAAAACGATCCTACATGTAAATATAGTTCAAAAGCTACACTTCTTTTGGATTTGCTAGCGAATTGAATACCTTAACCTGACCTTTGTTACATGAATTAAACATGCTGTTTAAAGAAACATTTGAGGCCACAACAGAAGGAGAGAATTCGCTCAAAGTTGAAGCCAATGGAACCTGCTGTGCTTGTAACRAAGTTTTGCACGAGGTGGGAGCCTTGCCTTTCTCCAGTGCATGGGAAATGATCTCTGAACAATTCTGGAGCTGTGATGTTGATGGCCGACGGTTGTAGCTTGCTAGACTTTGTTCATTGGCCTGCCCAGAAATGCTCATAATATGTCGAGCTGGAACTCCTGCATCTGACAACAGCGTAATGGCGGTCGCTCGTACACAATGGTTTGTGTACATCTTTGAAAGACCAGCCCCCAGGGAAATTTCTTTCATCAACTTTGACAGTCGATTAACACCCAGAGGCTTGTTTTGATACCAAATATCGTCGGAGTGCTCAAAGTTGGATCTGGGTTTCTGAAAGAAAGCCTCTTGTAAAGGATTTAGCTTGCTCAGGTAAAGCTCGATGCAGTAAAATGCGTCGCCATCTTCAGTTGTACTGTAAAGCCTGGTTTCCCTTTCTGTGCTTAACTTATCTTTAAATCCCCCTTGGTGGTTCTTAGACTGTTCTTTGTGCGACATCTGTATAAATGCTTTCCCGTCACTGTCTCTATCGAATACAAAGCTGTTTCTTCTTAGCAAACGCTGACCTTCACAGCCACGGCGACAACAGTAGATCGTCACGTACAGCCAAACTTTTCTTAAAAGACCATCTGGAGTTTCTGGAGTCATGAATGAGCTTGTCTTCAATTTCAGGATTTCTTAAGATTCAATGACAGGCTTGTGTTTAGTGCATTCTTTATTTTCTCTTCGGATAGCTTTAAGCTTGGATTCCAGCATTTTGTTACTCCTTGCGAAGACTGGATTGTTGGTTAACTTAATGCATCTGATATTGGCGATTAAGTGCCTCTCGATTGAATTCCAAAAGCCAAGATGTGACGAACGGCTGTATCCTTCTCCAGATTTTGTTCTTGCCTCTGCATAAAAGCGTCTTAGACAGTCATCTATATCAATGCTTGACATCTCTAGTAGTTTGGTTTCTACTCCTCATTCCTTGCACCAATCTGGAAATTCGAGGTATGTAATAACATTTTATGGCCAATAATATCATGCATAGACAAAGAGAAGTTTATCAAAATATTCTGTAACAAAAGCCATACCTTCAAACATTTTCAGACACCATTTTGTGTTTCGTTTAGTGCCTTTTGAGGTTGACTCTAGCACAATTTCTTGCAACTCTTGGTCATTTAAAGTCGCAAAACGACTTGTCATTTCGGCACTTTCTTGTTGCTCAGTTTCTACTTTTTCAAGACACAAAGCAAGCTCCATATCAGATGTAACATCAAAGTCGAAATAGTCAGTATTTGAATCGAAGCATTTAGTGTGTTAAAAAAATTGAAATTGAAATTTGGCTTGTCCATTTTTATCTTCTCTAGTTCAGCCTTTTCAAGGAGCTTGGAACGCGTCATTTTTTAAATCTGTCTGTCTTCTTATTGATGATAGAAATTAGCCAGTCAGCGCGCGAGAAATTTGTAAGTTATTGTAAAAAAGAATATTGACCGTGTTTCAAGGGGTAACGATCGATTCAGTCAATAATCCTTGCTTTGATGTTTGTGATGCAACACTGCCTTTGTGGTAAAAGGCTTAACTTCCTTGCAGTCAGAGTTTTAGTAGCTGTTCATTCCTGAATATATACTGGTTCTTCGTTCAATTTTGTGTTTCAAATACTAAAAAGAGCTCAACTTTTAAAATGRGCTTCAAGCACGATCAGTTTGTGGAGACAGTTGATGATTTCCTGAATTGTTCAATATGGTAAGTGACTCTCTTGTTTGCTATGAAATTATTGCTAAAAAATAGGTGAGATATAATTCTATTACAATGTTTATATTATTAATTTGTAAACCTGAAACCAAAACATCCTACATAGGCTTATCATTTTGAATTCATGGATTTACATTTGGTGCTATTTTAAAATGTACTTTCAGTCTTTCTACTCATTCGACATACCAAAATCTCAAACTCAAGTTAAGTGAAATTCTTAGAGTTTATGAAATTTTTCTCAAATTTTGCAATAAATTAATGGTAATTATGAGAAATTCTTCGTTTTCAAATTTTATTGTTACATTTGAAATATATCAGAAAAGCTAATTGTTAGTAAATTTAATTGAATGTGTATAAAATACTTCAAGATATTATATTGAAAGAATCATTTTTGTCGATGGAGCCAGTGATCCGAAAAGATATAAATACAACGTCTAAATCATCAGACGTTCTTTTTAATTATAGTGATTTCAACTAAAGCGAAGTTCTTAGAGTTTTTGAAATTATTTTCAGATATTGCAATTACAAGTTTACTTGATCTTTTATTGGTAGAGCGATTCAAAGGCAGAAACGAAGAACAACGAAAGCATTGTTAATTAGCAGATTACAACCCAGTCTAAATAAACAAATTGACGCTTTTCACCTAATACTTTTCCCTTATGGGATCCCTTAACATAGTTGACTTGCATTTATGATAATTTAGTCTAGTTCTGAAGATGAACTGTTGAGTTCGAAAACGTTCGACAAAACTTCTTATAGGCGATTATGTCTCACATCAAGATATTATATGCAAACAGGCATTTTTGCCGATGAAGCCAGTGATCCGAAAATATTGCCAAAAGTATGAAGGTTATATTTTATTCATTTAATTTCTAGTCATGAAGTACTGGAAGACCCGCAGCAATGTAATAAAGGGCATATTTTCTGTAAAGATTGTATTAAAGAATGGCTGAGTCACAACTGCACATGCCCCGTGAATAACATTGCACTAAAAATCGATGATCTCGCATGTAGTTTGGTTGCTAAGAATATAATAGAAAACCTTGAAGTGTACTGCCAACCACCAAGAGAGGATGTTTTGGCAGATGATGCAAGTACGTCTTGAGTATTTTATGATTGGGAATATAATAATGCTGATATTAATGACGACAAATGATAACAAGATACTGTACTGTACTGTACCAAGACTACTGGATGATACTCTCTGTAAGGTTCAAACATAGGCTGGCCACAGATTCGTACCGAGTCGCTTCTCTTGCCTTGTTGATCTCACGCTGTGGTTAATGGGAAGGATTTAGTGAGTTCCGGGTGCATCAGGGGAAGTGCGGGCAAAAAAAGCGTGAAACAAATTACGACTTGGTACGAGTCTGGGCTGTCCAGTCAACCTCACGGATTTTGTTCAAATTTGGTATATAAACTTGGTTTGGGGCCCTAAATACGAAAGGGATACGCAAAATAAATATACGAAAATCGGCAAAATTTGGGGGAAGGGGGATGGGGAGGGCCTGTTTTGTCGGGTCAGTAGTTGGCTGGTTACGACGCCGTAAAACATTATCCACAACTTCCGGATCAGGCATTTGTTTGAAATCTACAAGCTGTCATAATCCCACGTGCACGGGTAACTTCATTTAACAAAGCAACTTATGTGGACGATTTAAGTGAGCTGTCCCAGTATGAAAAGCTTATTTTCCATTATGATTGATTTTACCTAATATATACACTAAATAAAAAAATAAATAATTTTAAGCGGTTAGAAAAATGCAAGATTTTTCCGAGTTGCACATGGGGGTTTGATGAGAAGTCGATGTAAGGTCAATGTGAGATCGAGGATAAGTCAATGTGGGGTCGATGTGAGGTCGATGATAGGTCAATGTAAGATCGATGATCGGTCAATGTAAGATCGATGATATGTCAATGTCAATTGAGTTCATTGTGGGTTGATGTTAGGTCAATGTTGGTTGATGTGGAGTCGATGTGAGATCGATGTAAGGTCAATGTGAGATCGATGATAGGTCATTTTTTATTTTTTTTTCCCCACAGCTTTATTTGGGAAAACTAATATTACAATGTATTGAATAGAAAAAAAACTAATAGTTACCCAGAAAGGAAAGTCACGAACGGGACACGAGACCCATGCAAGGTGAATTGTTGAAATAATTAAATATAAAAATATATGCAAAAAATATAACATTGTACTTAAAATTAACAATAAGAATGGAAAAATAACTTCATTAAGATAAAACTAGTGCACTTTATGAGGTTAACCTCTATGACAGGGACTTTCTTGAGAAGCAGACCAGGTACAAGACCTGTCAATATCGAAAACAGAATCAAGTAAAGAAAAGTAACGTACTGAAATGTGGTTTTTGAAAGTAGATATACTAGAAAAACATGTCGAAGGAGAAGATTTACAAATGGAATTCCAAAGTTTAACGATGCGATTAAAATATGAGGCATAAAAAGTATGAGAGTTACAGAAAGGAACCTTGAGCATCAATCTAGGATTAAGACAGTTACGTATATTACTATGCTTAYTAAAGACGACAAAGTCACTAATGTTAAAGTCAATATGTCCATAAAGAGCTTTATAGAAGAATATTAAGTCTTTGACTTCCCTGTCGTAGCACAAGGGAACCAGATGGAGAAATGCAGGCGTTCTTTATAGTTGGTGTCACTTAATCTTGTCCTCAGAATCCATCTAGTTGCCCGCCTTTGGACGCGTTTGATTTTAGCCTTCAGCGCGACCTGGTGCGGCGACCAAACCAACGTAGCGTAGCAAAGCGTGGACTTGACCAAGGACAAATACAGGGTTTTGCGAACTCTGATGTCCGTTAACAAGGGACATGTTCTCTTCAGCAATCCTAACATCTTGTTGGCTTTGGCGATAATGAAGTGAATATGTGAGTCCCAGAAAAGATTATCTTTGACGATAATGCCAAGTTCTTTTTCTTCTTTGACACGGAGGAGCTTGGATAAGTTGAGATGATAATTATAATTGACTGGATTTTTCTTACGTGTAATTGACAACACCTTGCACTTAGTAGCGTTGAACCTGATATTGTTATCGCGGCTCCAGATTGCCAAGTTGGATAGGGTTTGTTGAAGATTTYCAGAGTCCTCAACAGATGTAATGTTCTTGTATAACTTAGTATCATCAGYAYATAAAGCAGCGATTATACCATTCGAGACAGCTTCTGGAAGGTCATTTATGAAAAGGATGAAAAGAACTGGACCAAGTAAGCTCCCTTGAGGAACTCCAGAGGTGACAGGAGCCTAGTCAGAGGCTACACCATCAACAACTACTCACTGTTTGCGTCCAGTAAAATAATCTCCAAATCATTCGAAGAGGTGCCCAGATATTCCAAACGATTTGAGCTTGTCTAGGAGAATTACATGGTCCACGGAATCAAAGGCTTTAGCGAAGTCAAGGTATAGGATGTCAGTCTGAGTGTTCTTGTCAAGGTATCGTCCGATAGAGTGAAGAACTTGGAGAAGTTGCGTTGCACATGAACGTTTCCTAAGGAAACCGTGTTGAAGAGGAGTGATGAGATTAATAACATGGTCGTACAGCCTTATACAAACACAGCGTTCTAGTACTTTGCCAAGTATGAACAGGAGAGAAATTGGACGGTAGTTTTCAGCAAGTTCCTTTGAATCTTTTTTGTGCATTGGAATGACATCAGCCAGTTTCCATTCCGAAGGGAGTCTTTCCAAGAGTAAAGAAAGATTGAACATATTGCAGATGCTAGGTGCTAATTGGTGACCACAGTCCTTTAGGAGACTAGTAGGAAACCCATCCGGACCACCAGCTTTCGAGGTATCAAGAGTACACAGACACTTGGTAACTTCTTCTACACTAAGGTTGATATCAGATAACTTTAGATCAGTCTTTGGAGAGAAAACGTTGTCGCTAGTTCTGTCCATAGTTGATCGTGGAACAGAGACAACCGACGAGAAGTAGGAGTTAAAGAGTTCATCTCTCTTAGCAGGAGTGTTAACTGTCTCGCCACCATAGGTTAGGACAGGACTAGAGCTTGATTTATGTTAGAGAGCGTAATTTCAGTTTTTGTTCTGCTGTTTTATTTAGGCGATATTTCTTGAGTGCAGCATACTTTTTTCGGATAACATGACGGACTTCTCCATCTATCCAAGGAGGGGAGTTTGTGTCCTTAATGACTTAATGACACGACGTCGTAGGTCCCACTATAAATGATCTGCTGAAGAAGAGTGATCTTGCATATTTTGCATGAATCATCACCAGATACTGATGTAAAGGCTTTCAGGCTCCTTGCGTTCAGATATAAGACGTTTATTTTATCACTAGCTGAAGTAGCTGGTCAGGGTTCGGAGCGATATCCCCGTAGACGGTGATGTCAATGTCACGATGGATGTCGGGAGGCGAGAGACAAACATATCCATGCTTGGACCAAGAGGATTGATGGAAGTGAAGAGGAGAGTTGACTCGACGTTTTAGCTGGAGTAGACGAGCAGCAAAAGCATCTATATTCTTCATTGTGGTGGATTAAGACTAGCAGCAGGAACAGCAGGAGAGCACAGATTTCTGCCAACTTGCGTAACGTGAATTTTTTCTTTAGCGGTTTTCTTGCACGAGTGTGACAGCTCAAGCGTAAAATGAATGGTTTGAGGATGTTCATTTTCACGCGTGATGACATTTCTTTTTAGCTCGGGCTAACTGGACGTTTGAGTTCGAGTGCCGTTGAGGTTGAAAGAATGAAACCGACAGCAAACAAACAGTGGGGAAAAAATAACGGAAAAAATAACGGAAAAAATTGAAAAGTAAGAAAATACTAAACTAGAAAAAAAATAAAGAAAATTTAAAAATATGGTAGAACAACAGAAATGACATTGATTGATACTAGTATACAGTACGCAGAAACGTCAGAAAGAAAGAAAATGTAGTTCGAGAAAAGTAAAGCACATGATAAGGAACAGTCGAGAGAAATTCTTTAGTTCCCTTGAGGCAGATTTGTACAATAATCCAAAGCGCTTCTGGTCTATCTTAAAGACGAAATCTAAATCACGCTCGATTCCTGATCACATCAGCATGGAAAGAATCATAAGTACAAATGACCAAGCTACACACGATCAAGCTCTTCGATGTTCAGCTGACACGCCTCTGGAGATTGCCAACCTATTCAACACATACTTTGCATCAGTCTACTCGCATGGTGAACCTACCGTGACATTCAACAGCGCAGTTCCTGAACCTACTACATGTCAACTAACGCTTGAAATTAGTTAAGTTCAAAATGTGCTAGAATCTCTAGATGTCACAAAAGCAAACGGACCAGATGGCATTATAGCAAAACTGCTCAAGGAGACTGCTTCTTTAATTGCACCATCCCTCTGCAAGCTATTCAATAAATCCCTCAATACTGGAGTCTTCCCGCAGGAGTGGAAAAATGTGAACATTGTACCTGTATTCAAAAAAGGTGATCCCGAGCATGCAGAGAACTATCGACCTATATCTCTGCTTTCTCTGGTGTCAAAAACCCTAGAACGATGTGTCCTCAACAACATCAAAGATCAACTGTACAGTGTGATCAACACTTGTCAGCATGGATTCCTAAGCGGAAAATCCTGCACCTCCAACCTCCTTGAAGTCTTGGATCACATCGGATCATTGCTAGACAACGGCGAACAGATTGATGTGGTTTGTATGGACATGTCCAAAGCCTTTGACAAAGTCAGTCACAGTCGTTTGTTGCATAAATTGCGCGAGTCTGGTTATGGTGGCACCCTTCTACAGTGGTTCAATTCGTACTTAATGGACCGCCACCAGCGTGTTACTGTGGCCGGAGCTACATCAGATCCCTTGCATGTCGGTTCCGGGGTCCCTCAAGGCTCTATTTTGGGACCAGCTTTGTTCCTTCTGTTCGTGAACGATCTCCCAGAAGTAGTCGAGTCCAGCAACGTTACCATGTATGCTGATGATACAAAAATCTATAAAAATATCAAGTCTCTTCAAGATGCTGCGTCGCTACAGACCGATTTAAACAGCCTGCACGTTTGGTCTTCGTCATCCGGTCTCACGTTCAATGAGATTAAATGTATCCAACAACTTGACTTGGAACAAGCAGGTACTGGAACAAACAGCTAGAGCTAACAAACTGCTGGGCTACGTCAGAAGAAACACTCGATACATCCAAAGTATTTCCGTTAGACGAACGCTGTATCTTACCCTCGTTCGTGCTCACTTTGGATACGCATCACAAATATGGGCACCACAGTCTATTGAACTAATATCAAGAGTTGAGAGAACACAAAGACGTGCCACAAGATACATTCTCAAACTGCCATTCTCATCCACCGTCTCTTACAGTTCGAGATTGAAAACTCTGTCTTTACTACCAATAACTTACTGGCATGAATACCTTGACATGATTTTTTTCTTTAAACTAACGCACAACCTGATACACGTGAAGCCTAATCTACTACCTGTTCCTCGACGTACACGACCAACAAGATCATCAAACAGTAATGTTGTCAAGTACGCAGTACGTCAGTGCAAGACCTCTACGTACCAGAAATCCTATCTCATCAGGACAACTAGAATATGGCACGCTCTCGCTGATGAACTATATCTGAACATGGACAAACTCAACACATTTAAACGCGCCATGTTAAGTTACTACGTAACGTCACTGGACAGTTACAACTGTTACGACCCACGGACTTTTAAAACAGTTTGTTTAAAATGTAACTGTTGCAGAAGC